GGGTTGGGTGGGAACCGGGTGGAGGGTAGCTATGGGGAGAAAAAAGAGGAACACCTGTAATAATCTGAACAATAAAGATTTATTTAAAAGTAAATAAATAAAATTAAAAATTAATTAATTAAATAAAGTAGAGGCTGCAGTTCACTGAACATTTATGTTTATGGCACTGTACTAGCCATAATCGTGAGAGATAGGGTATAATGAGCCCCATTTACGGGGGTTGGGGGGGAATAGGCTCAGAGAAGTTAAGCGGCTTGACTAAAGTCACACAGCCAATAAAGACGAAATTAGAAATCTGACCTGTCATGTCAAAGCCCACTCTCCTTTAAGCTTGCTCTGCTCTGATGAGGAACTGAGACACCAGACAGAAGGAGTTAACTGGAATACCTCCGCCATCCACCCCAGGCTCTGCCTCAGGGCTCCTAAAACCCTGCTGGTGCTTTCATACCTCCAGTCAGTTCCATGGTTAGCTTTTCATTTTCAATCATCTTCTTCTTTTCTTCTAGCTCAGCAATCAGGTTGTCTTTCAGTTCAACCTTTTTATCTTCAAATTCTTTTACTGCTGCCTTCTTTTCTTTAATGTAATTTCTTTCCACTTGTTCAGTCTGAGCAAAAGAGAAACACAGAATAGGGGTACATAGCTCTGGCAGCCAGGGCTCCACCTTGAAGTCTGGCAAAAACTTCAAGAGCAAAGAAAATACCTTTACTAGAAAGAGGAGAAATATTTGGACTCTCACACACATACACCTGCAGTAATGGAGGTCTCTGGGAGCCAGTTTTCCAATGAATGGGTAAACTTAAACCAACTTCTGCTTGTTTTCATGAGTATACACCACTTGCTACTCAGGTATTTCCTCTCTTCTACATCTTACATTTTATGGTGTGTGTTAAAATAGAACATTAATCCCTCAATGAAAATAAATAAACGCTTTAAGAACAGAATTTCAAAGGAAAACAGTACATTCCAGATGAAATATCTACATTCAAAATAAACTGAGTCAAGATAGCAGGAGTTACTGTATGTTTTGATATTTACAGTAAGATAAAGATCAACTAGAGTAGACCATTTACTAGGTGTCTGAATCCCAAGGTACTAAACACTGAAATTATACTAAATAAAAACTGCATAAACATCCGTTTTCTAAATCTCACCAGGGGGCTTATGGTGGGCAGTGGCTATGGATCATGTGATCCTTCAGGCTGCACTGACTTGAGTACGAAAATGGTTTCCAATGTGGCTCTGATAAACCATGACCTTCTCACACTCATGTGTGGCTCTGATAAACTCACACCCCAAATCTG